CCCCCCCCCCCCCCCCCGCCGCCGCCGAACCCTTCGCGTCCCCCGCAACACCGGACAACAAACTACCGCGGGAGGCGCGAGAGCCTCCTGGAGAGGCTTTCTCCCTCGCTCTTGGCACCGGCCCGCCGTTCTGTCCCTTCGCTGCCGTGGCGGAGCCGCGAGTAGAGCCGGACTCGTTGGCGTCATTTGCGCCCCCGCCCCCCGGGAGCGTTGTCCCTGTAGCAGAAGAGGACCGCCCGTGATTGCTTCGCCGGCCTGAGGCCGCGGCACCACCGTCGCCGTCGCCACCTCCAGCGCTACCGTCGGCGGTGGAAGACCGTCGACGACCCGACCAAGCCGTCGCCGTCGTCGAAACCCCCACCCCCGCCGCCGAGGCTCGCCAGGGGGTCATGCCGCTCCCTCCGCCGCCCGCCCTGCCCGTGACGTCGTCGTCCTCGCCGGCCTCCAGCTCCATGGACTCGATGATCTTGTCCACGTCCAGGCTTTGCAGGTTGTCGTCCGCGGCTCCGTATAGGTCGCTCCCCGCTCCCCCGACCGATGAGACGAGTCTGGTCATGGCGCCACCACCACCACCGCTACCGCCGCCCCCGGCGCCGAACCCGTTGGCGCGGTCCGCTACCGATGCCGCTATCTCCTCCTCGCTCTCCCTCAGGATCTGCTGCAGCAGCCGGGAGTCCTCCGAGACCTCGTCCCGGCTGAGGAACGCCGTCCGCGGCGGCGCCCCCGACAGGGAGCCGTTGTTGCCGTCGCCGTAGGTGCTGCTGCCGCCGCCGCCGCTGTAAGGGTCGCTGTAGCCGACGCTTTCAGCCCCCCTGCCCCCCTTGGTGCTGGTGTCTTCTCCGCCAAAGGAGCGCGGGCTCAGAAGGCCTCCTGCGGCGGCGGCGGTAGCTGAACCTTGGGAGGCTACCGGGGGGAGGTTCGCTGAAGTGCCCGCCCCGCGCCCTCCGCCGCCATCGTCTCGCCATCGTTCGAGCTCGCGGCTAGGGCTGACGTTGCTGTACGTTCAAGGGCATTTGGCACGGACGGATGTCAGAGAAAGTGTTCGATTGTGGTAAGGGCAGGCATTGCAACGGATCGATATCAGTGTTAAGGATTCGATTGTTTTAAGGGCATTGCGACAGGCCCACATCGGTGATAAGGATTCGATTATTATAAGGGCATTGCAACAGACTCATATCGATTCTTCGGTTGTTTCATCCATGACATGTTTGCACACGTAGGACAGATCAGATCCCTTCACATCGAGCTAGCTCTTTTGAGGGTATGTCCCTGTTGATCGGGAGGCCATAGGTGGTCGGGGTATTTTCGCTCCATGATGATCTGAAGGACATAGGCGATCGGGGTATGTTCGCTCCATGGTGATCTGAAGGACATAGATGATCGGGGCATGTTTGCCAGAGGTGATGTGAAGGTCATTGGCGATCGGGGTATGTTTGCCCGAGGGGATTTGAAAGACGTAGCGATCGGGGCATGTTTTCCCGAGGTGATCTGTACGACATAGATGATCCGGAGTATGTTTCAGTGTCCCTCCCTCCAGCAGTGCTAACGACTTGGTCGAATCCAATTCTCAGAACAGCAACCTAGCTTTTCACCGAACAGCAACCCAGCGCTAACGGCGCACAGCAACCTAGCCCTTACTTGCTATTGTGCCGCGGCTTGGCCTAGCGCTAATGAGCAACCTAGAACGCTAACGGTACCGCAACCTAGGTTTTCACCGTATAGCAACCTAGCGCTAACGGTGCACAGCAATCTAACGGCTTAGGCGCACTTGGTCCAGTGACCTAGTATATTGAGGGTTCGCCAGAGGTGATCTGAAGGACATGGGCGATCGGGGTATGTTTGCCAGAGGTGAAATGAAGGACATAATTGATCGGGGTATGTTTGGTCAATGATGGTCTGAAGGACATAGGTGATCGGGGTATGCTTGCTCCATGGTGATCTGTAGGACATAGGGGAGCTAGCTCAGGATCTGAACTATGTGTGCATGTGTGGCACCAACAGGGGTATTGGGCATCGGCACCCGTGCCTATTCTCGCGCCCCCCAGTACATGCACATTTTATCCGGAGTCCCGTTCCTGACCCCTCACTTAACCCTGATTCTTCAACAAATAGTTAGCTCTAAAGCCGCCGGCTGTACTGCTAGCCCAAAGCTACACGCATCGACTGCTGTACAGCAGTACGAACACAACGCAATTGCTTCGTTCCAAGCCAGTGACACACGTTTAGCTGCTGTGCTTCGAGGCTACAGTAGCCAGTACAGGCACGGAAGTTTAACAACAGGCTTGATATGCGGCCAGCCACATCACCAGATCCCCAGACATCACTAGTCCTTCGGGGATCGCCCAAGCCCTATAGGCTTTGTGCACATCAGGTATTCTAAACCTGGGACCTCGTCTGACATGCGGAGCAGCAGGTATTACAAGCGAGAAACCAAGCAGATGGTTCCCGTGCTCTTGTTCCATTGTGGCCAACATCCGGCGTTCCTACAGGCAGTGTCTTACGCCATTTCCAGAGCATGCGGCAAAGAGGGGTGATTGCTTCAACCAGCATTGGAGCAACAAAGTCCGCCATGGGACAACAGGTTGTATGCTGGGCATGTGTGAGTGTTTCGCACCAAGCACGCACGCGCAAGCAAAACATTGGAGCCCTATGCACTGCTATCTACTGCTCTGCCGTGTCTCGCCTTCCAAGAAGATGCGGAGGGTTCTCCTCATCGCCATGGTGGCCCACCACCAGATCGTCCTCGTCGTGGTAGCCTCCATCATCCTCCCGCAATATGTCCTCAAGGCTCACCCCTTGCACGTTGAGGCCGTCGTCATCGTCGCTGTCTGGCGCGTTCAGGATGGCCTCCACATCCTGATCCATCGCGAACTGCTACAGCAGCAGCAGCAGCAGCAGGCAGCTTGATGCCTTCGACACTTGAGACGAACGTCTTGCCGCTTTCCCGTTCGTCTGCAAGCACTGCTTTATGCAATTACACTCGAAATCAACACTCTTCGGGTCATCTATCACCCGTCTGGTTTCAACGAAGGCTATCGCCAGGGGTACTGTGTATCAGCCGAGGAGGCAAAGGCACAACACACCAATTGACTGTGTAGCAGTAGTGCACAGCACCCGCGGAAGACCGGTTCCAGGGGTGACGCAGGTTAGTGTTGTTATTGGCATACCCATGGTGGCTCCGTGGTTGCACATTTGTGGGCCTGCTCTGTTCGCTCTGTTTTATGAGCTTGCCTGTAGCTGCCCTCGTCCTCCTCTTGACCGTCGTTCCTCTTGCTGACCCAACCCCAACAAACACGAAGTCGACATGGTTGCAAGAGGTTCCCTTCTGTCTGTTGTGATGGGATTGACCTTGAACCAGGCGCCTCGTGTAGCGTGCTTCTGCACGGTTGTTCGGCCCTCTGCACATCGAGCACGTGTACATCAAGCACGAGCAACCGCAGCACCGCACAGCAGCTCAAGATGGAATAGCAACGGGTTCCAAGGCGGGGCCAGTTTGGGGTCAGCAGCATCTTTGGTGCGACTTCGAGCGGTGGAGGAGCCAGCGGCGGCGGCGGCGGCGGCGGCGGCGGCGGCGGCAGCGGCGGCAGCAGCAGCAGCAGCGGAGGCGGAGGATAGAGAGCCGGACGCGATCGACCTCGACATCGAAACACAGGTTCGCAACCGCTGTCCTTACTTGCCTATCGTGTAGAGAGAAGGCCATTTGAGGCCAAACAATGCTTGTGGCATGCGCTAGATTCGTGCCGGGAGGCTTGTGTGTTTACGTCATGGGGTTATTCAGTGTACACATTAAGATTGTACGTGCAACATATCGTTAGTATGATCCTCTTCTTGTGGAACATGCGGCTCAATATCAACCTCCTGGGCTGCTGGTGGCATGAAGGCCATGAAGGCATGAATCGGATCTGACAGAAACTCAACAGCCATCCACGCATCCACGTCAACGAGTTTCTCCAGTGCACCTCTTCGTGGCCTCCTGCTGCTACGTACAACTAGCGACCGAGCTTGTCGCACGAAACTAAAGAGCGTCGGGAGCAATTGGCGGCAAGTTGCAGTTCAGGCACATGTCCTTTTTGCATCATATCGAGGACGTCCTCGCTACACGGTCAGCTCTCCGCATAAGATACAGCACCAACCTGTAGTGCAGTCGGCGAATAGATGTGGAGAAGGCGTGTGCAGCACAGCAGAGGGCGCGACAAAGCATTGTACACGGAGAGAGGCAGGTAATGGACAGGTTGCCCTCATTGCTCGTACGCAGGAATCACATGATTCATGTACGCCGCACCTATACTAAACCAAGTACAATAGGAGCCCTAATACTACAAACCAGTCAAAAGTTTACGCGGTTTGAACCGCCGAGGGTAAGAACTTACACTCGTGAGCCGATTGACGCGATCCATGTTAACCGAAGATGCATGCAATACATCATCGAAATCTGCTGTTGCGTTTTTGGTCTCGCCAAGTCTTGAGTATTCGCATGGATTAGCCGGATGGCGTCAATGCTCTGTAGTACTGCTTTGTATGCTGCGTAAGATACCCCCTGGCCCGATTTTCAAAGCTCGATTACTCCACGACCAAGAGGATGCCGAAGGAAAACGATATGTCTGCGGAAAGCTTTCGATACGACGGTTCCAAACTTGCCATTTTCGGCACCGTCGCTGCTTTCCTCGCCGAGTAATCGAGCTTTGAAAATCGGTCCAGGGGGTGAGGTATCTTACGCAACCTACGGTATATATACCCACACATTTGCAGTTTTCTTCGTTTGCTACCGTTTCTGTCTTGAATTCGGACAACAGCTCAGCCTCTCCCATGGCGCCCCGTCACGGGATCCCAGATCATGGTATCCTTTACAAGCATCTTCTGTGCTGAGACCGACGTCGTTTCGTATGGTCAACCGGTAGGGGCGGTCGATGCTACCAATAGAGGTACAGCAGTAGGTGGCCCGATATAGTGGCATGCAGGTGCAAGAGGAGAATATGACGTTACATATTAGGGCAGTGCCACTACCCGATATATCGGGGTTCATGTACAATGATATTGTGACAAAATATCTCGATGCCACTTATAATGGGCCACATACTGCTGTACACGCACGCACCGAGCTACGCTGCAGATGGAAGCGGAGCGCATCATGGCGCAGCTGCAGAGCGAGAACGAGCGACAGGACGCCGTCCCAGACGACGGCAGCCCCAAGTACATGCCCTCCACGGAAGACACTGACCCGATCGTGAGGGCCCTCAAGACGGTCCTCAAGTGCAAGGAGGTCACAGGTGTGGTGTGTTGAAATCTGTTGTAAGCTTTTTCCAGAAAGCGGTGCGAAAGACATCGACGGGCGTGTCGCGTGAGCTCTCTGGCCCAGCTGGCTGGCGGCTCATTGTAGGTTATTGGAGCGGGCTGTGACGAAGTGGATTTGTTCCATGACGGTGGGTGAGACCTGTGGAAAAGCATAACACAGCGGTCGTGGCACTTGACGCCCGCCTGGTCGAATACATCGACCGATACCTGCAGGAGCACGCTCAGATCAGACTCGCTTTCGCTGGCGAACGACTTTTGCCACCTCTGATCGGGATGGGAACTATAGTAAGAGTAGAAAAGGTATGGTTGTAAATATGGAAAAGTTCCGCAGTTTTCCAAGCTCTATCATTTTTTATTTTTTCATTCTGAACGTTGACCACCGAGCAAATGGCACGGCCAAGAGGTCCGTGTCGCAGCTCGCTCGCGTGATGTGGGCGTTGTAGCACCGTATTTTGTATAGTCTATTCGTAGGCTTCGGTGTGGTCTGGCAGCTGCGCACATGCTAGGTGCCGTACCCTGGCCGACCGGCATCACCAGACACGTCATCACCTCATCAAAACACCTAGCATGTACGCAGCTGCTAGACCACAGCGAAGCCTAATACATGTATCTTGAACACATGGAAACGAAGGTAAAAAAACGCTGCGAGAATGCCCACATCACACGAGCGAGCTGCGATACGGATCACCAGAGTACATACGGCGGTAGCAAATCTTCGACACTTCCGTATCCCGTAGTGGAACGGTAGGTTGCGGCGTAGCATGCACTAGGCCCTCCGCGATGGTGGCGGTGTGGACTGCATCACGCGCTGTCCCGCTCGGTCGGGATCAACACGCCATGTTCCTCGCTACACCGAAACATGTCAAAGTACGCAATTCATCTGTGTCCGGTGTCAAACGTTCACTTCCGCAATTGAATTCAAGCATTGGCCGAGTACATCGGCTGTAACAGCAACGTGCCCCCCTCCCCTTTGTTTGTTCGCGCCCTCCGCACCGCGTGGTGTACAGACTGGGAGCTGCTAGACAGTCGATGGAACGGCAACGAGGCCTTGAGGTGGACCACCGACAGGGGTCCGTACTTCGTTAAGATGAACCGGGTGGAAGACATGAGCGTCTTCATGACAGAGGTGCGGAGCCGTTGCAACCGACCCCTTGTCTGCATGCCTCGTCGCGCTTTTTTTGTTTTTTTTTGTTTTTCTACCACCTCTTGCTTGTCGGGTGTTGTATGCGCGGATAGGGTTTTTGTCTGTCTCACGTGCGTTTTGTGTCTTAAGGCCTGGTATTGTTGTCTTACCTGTCCGTGTCTTGGCTTTCCTTGCCGCCTTGACGTGGCAAACTGTGCCATCAGTATGACGTCATACAGGTGAGGCTCCCTTCACAGCGCTGTGTGGATGCTGCAGCTACATGAGAGGTTGATAGTCGGTGCTTGTTGGGCCTCACCTTGGCTGCTTTAGTGCCTCCATTGCTGTTTGTCCAAAACACCATCTACTACTTCCGTTCCCTTTTTGGTATGTGGCATATTCTCTGTCGTGGAACACAATCGTTCTTAACCTAAGCCCAGCCACTGACTTCGCTTTCAGCTACAAGGTAGCCACGTTGCTCACGGTAGCTCTTGAGCATGTAGGGGCGGGCATGCAACAAAGCCTTACGTAGCCCGATGGCGGTATGCGGGGCGTTCGACAGCTTCCATCCGCCCGCACCAACATCGGTGCCAACCGCCGTGCAACGAAAATGTCCCGGATCGAACCCGCTTGGTGCTGGCAACGTTGATGCGCGTGCACGCGCAGGCCGTGAGCTTGAGCGCTTTGGCGAAGGCGAACGTGATGCAGGTGCCCAAGCCGCTGCACCTGGGGGTGCTACCAAAGTGAGCAGAATCTCACTGGACGACACACGCAAGTACATATCTACCGCGTCCGTTTTTGTTTTGGCATGAGTAGACCGTCGTTAGGGGGTGATCAGTGTTATTCCAGGCTCGGAACGACGGTGGCCGCTATCCTAGAGCGTGTGGTGGATAGGTTGCTCTGGCGGGCGGG